AAAGCCCTTTTATCAAATGACGATGAAGAGAGAAATTGTATCGAGGTCCCAATTCCCCTCCCGTTTTAACTGAGGAGGAAACTCAAGCTATTAAGTAGATAAGGGAATGCACTAAAAATTTAGTCCAAATTTACGTGTAGAACAACTGCAAACCTAGTGATGCTGAAGTGAGGACCCATTTAGAGCTTCAGGGTAGGCTCACGTAGTTTCTTGGATCACACTCAATGATTATTCTTAAGTCGATCACCTGGCCTGAAGAAACGTGATATTGGTAGAGCTGACCAATGCAATTAAGCACGGTTGAGTTGATGCATAAGTGGTGGGTGCCCCGTCCATAATGAGTACTGAAGCACTAATAGATAATGTCGGCATCATGGTCGGTGATCCTCTTGAGTAGTCGGTTCTTCATGTGGGTTCAGAGAAAAGGATGTGCAGCTCTTATAACAGCCGCTCAATCTTGCTTTACGAGTGTCTATTTATAAGGATAAAAATGCAACTGCCTTTCTCTGACTTTGAAGTTTCCGTCTTAAAGCATTTAAAGCTTCCCCTTCCCAGATTCATTTGGGGTCTTGGGCTTACATGAAGATATTCCAGCTATGTGGCGAGCATAAGTCTTGGAAGCCTTCACTCAAACTGTTTTTCAACTTATTCTACATGCTTCACGCCTCTTAAGATAATTACTGTGACCAACAGATCATTAGTTTCCACCTGGACGATCCTTGGTTCGACCATTTCAACAAAGACTAGGATGATTTTCTGAGGCATTTCTTGCTGGTGAAAACCTTTACGTCAGAGGCCCATCTTGCCTTTTTCTCATCCACTACTAGAACTTCTTATTTCTATAACGACATTTTCTTGAAGTATTGGTTCATGCCTCACTTCTACCATGACGTCTATTTCTACCGCGTTATGAGGTAGTGATGAAGGAGGACATGTACTCTTGGTTCAAAGGACTTGGCTATGAAGAAGGATTTGACCCTGGTCATGTGCCTTCTTCCGCAACAAAGAATATATTTTCGATGAGGATATATTCATTTAGAATTTTTTACATATGCGATTGTACTTTACAGATAGCATGTAAAAGTTGAAGTTGTTCTTCGACCTTGCCAGTGCTCAAGGTATCAAGATTGGTTCTACTGAGCTAGCCGTGACGCCCCTCCTAAGACCATTGCACCAGCTTCAACCATTGCTCCCCTCTTATCCACCACGACCACTTTCACTTCCCCTGGGTCGACCAACTTGTTATTGGTGCGACAATTTTGACTTTGGAGGATATGGCCTCGTCCTCAATTTCAACAAAGATGGTCAGGATGAAGACAACACTCCCCATGAAGATGGTTCTCCTAAATGGATCCATTTATTTCGTGGAAGATGATTCATGGGTGATTACTCTCTTCTTGCAGATCTTTAACGTTCTTCCTTTCCAGCTTGCTCGCACTCTTAAGGAAGTTGTTGTCATTGTATCGATGGAAGATTTGTCTTTCGTCCAAAAACCCCTTTGAGGAGGAGAAAATGGAACTCCTCTTTGAGATCGCCTACAACATGTATCATATATATTATCTATTCTCTTTGGCCACTGCTGGTAAGGGAGATGTATTGGTTACTAGAAATCCTTCCAAGGCGATAGACACTTGGAAAGGTAAGTGTGAAGCTATATAATAGAGGTTTTTTTCTTTTCAAAAGGAGTTGACTGAGTTGTAGGAAAATGCCAAGCTTGATAGCTCTTAACAGGAGGAGAAAAATATCCACGACTCTCATTCTACCTTGGTTTCCTAGATAATTGAGTTGGAAAGTGTTCTTGAGGCGGAGAAGAAGCCCACCATGAGGCCTGTGATGCCTTTAATGAGATGACCTATTGTATAAAGCAGGATCAAAAACTCTTCAATGGGAGGCTAAGGCTCATGTTGAGGCTTTAAAGTCTCTTGAAAGCAAGGTGATCAGTTTTAGGGGGATGGTTCATGATTCCCTTCAACGAATTGTGTAGGTCGTGTATGGAATTCATGATCAAGTCGTGGAACAAGTGAGGAGGTTCATCATCACCTCTTTTATTCTTGTTGAATAATTAAACCCCTTCAAAGTTCCACCCGATGGGAACCCATAGGGTGATCTAGGTACTTCGGCTCCGACGCTGCAACTTGACTGGTCTTCTCTTCTTTAATGTTTCATTTTCTCTTGTAATGTGTGTCAGCCTATTGTGCCTCAATTGTGACATTTAATAGTTATAAAATTTTTTTTTACCTCAATTGGGTTATGCATTATTTAACTTTAAATTAAGAATTGTGGAAGGTTTAAGCTTTATGAGGCAGGTTGTCACAACCTGTGTCAACCCTACTGAAAGTTATGCATTATAGGATCGATTCATGAACTGGTCCAATTCTTGCTTTTGTTTCCTCAAAGATCTTTCCTTTGAGGTTGCTTTGGGAAAATCTACAGTCTGACTGAATCGTTGTTCGGAGTTATTGGGAGATGCTTCCAAGTTCCCAACTAGGGCTAAGTTTATGGCGCTCTTTGCACCAGATTAAAATGAAGTTGGAATCTCTGTTGTTCAGAGCATAGCCACTTCATTGGTTCCTTGAACTTTTAGGATTCCTCTCTTTGAGTAGAACTTGGTTATTCCTTCTGAAGTTGTAGGAACTTCTAGGAATTCACAAATCTTAGATTCTCACCATTTAGTTGGAACAACCTCAGGGAGTTCACAAATCTCAAACATTTAGCATGAAGTTGGATCAACATTTGAGATTACAGCTTCTAAATCTCTTGCTTCTGAGGCTGTTACCTCTATGACTCTGAAAACTCTAGATGAGCTGAAGAAGAAAAAGGTAGTTGTAAGGACCATGTTGAATCGCCAAGATGAGACCAATAATCAGATTCAAAACATGTTAACCATCATTATGTCTAAACTTCCCATCCCCGCCATAAATCTATTTTTTCAGTTTCCTTTCTTCTCTGTCTATCTTGTTACTCTTATTTTCAATCTATAAAAAGTTTATTTTTCATTTTATCGGATTCTTTTTTATTGATGATAAAAGGGGAGAAAAATTATGATTTTGGTTCATGTTTATCTCAAGATATAAATCTCAAACCTGTCTAGATTTATTGGATAATTTATTATGAATCGAAATTTTCTAATCCTTAATCTTAAGGGGAGCTTGCAAACTTCATTCTGTGAAGTTAAGCTAGGAAGTTTTTGAAGTCTGAAATTCAAGGGGAGCTTACAAACCTAACTCTGATTTTTAGCTAAAATTTTTCTTTTGTTAAGTCAAAATTGTTCATCTAACTTATGATGTTTGTCATCATCAAAAAAGGGGAGATTGTTGGAACAAGTTTGGTTCTGAACCTATCCTTGAGTTTTGATGATAACAAAGTGTAAAAGAATAATTTTATTCTCTAACAGTTTGTTGAGCGTGTAGACTCTGAGCAATCCAGAAGCGAAGTAAAGTTAAATCTGATCAAGTAAGAAGCTGATAGAAGATGACTTTGATCAAGCTAAGATGTTGTACAAAGATAATAAAATTATACTCTAAACTCTGATTTTAAAGAGACTTTGGATAAACTTTTGAAGTAGTTCTTCAATTAAATTCAACTCTGGTTTGACCAGTCAACACTTTTGAAGTAGACATCTCAGATGCACTCTGTTTCATTCAAATCTCATTTTTTCTCATCAAACTCTGTAGTTTATTCTCAAAGGCTCTAAACTCTGAACATGCGTTAAATCTTTCATATGCAAAGACAAAATTTTAAAGTAATATAATGGATGAATAATTTATATGAACAATACAAGATAGACATCAAAATCAAAAGTATTGTACTGCAAACAATTATAAAAGATTTTCTCTACTCTACCTTTGATTTACTGCTGAACTTGCCTACTCTTCAACTGTAGTGTTCTATTGAAGAAGTTTCCAATCTTATCCTCCAATGGTTTTATTTTTTATTCTAAAAAAGAGAGAAAATAATTTGTAAAATATAGAATGATAATGAATGATTAAGAAAAGAACAAAAAGAAAGAGAAAACATGTGCACAGAACTTGAAGAAACTCCACGATGAAGAAGATTCAATAAAGCAAAAACATCATCATGAAATATAAAATAGAAGAAACACTTTGAGCTTGAATTCAAATATTCTCTAGCATAAAACCTAAGTCTTATTATGTGTATTCTGCTTAGTAAGAAGCATCTTTAGAAACACAAAAGTGAAACGTTAGAACTATGAAAGTATGCAAATTAAAAAGACTATAATAGAAGAGAGTGTTGTTAATAGAAGAATCGTTATAATATTATCTTATAAGTCTATACCACAACCATAAAATATAAACCGATAAACGAATACTTTGTTCGACCTAAATCCATTTCACATTTGTATCTATCATAAAAAAAATTACTATTTGACCTCTAACCAACCTTTATCTTCAAACTTCCAACCTCGTAAACATATATGTCACCAACACCCAACAAACAATCTATCTTCAAGGATAATTTTAATTTAAAATATTTTAAGATTTTATTTTAAAAATAAGAATTTTTTAGAAAACATTTCAAATTGGGTTAGTATGTTTTAAAAAAATCCCAAGTATTCTCCTAGTTTTAATTTGTCTTGTTGGATTTACCCATCAGCATAGACCCTATATAATATACACTCTCATTATATGACCGAGATATAATTAATGAATCGGAAGAAGTACTTTTAGTAATATTGGCTGTCCACTTTTAAAAATTTGTATTTTGTATATTTGGAAACCTCTGCGCAATTTTTCGAAGAGTGTTTGTCTTTTCTATGTTTCCTCCCTGCACGTGCCCCTCTTTTTTCGCTCTCTTTCACTTTTCACCCTTTCTTTCCCCAACTTCAAAAACCTCTCTGTTCTCTCAAGTCACTAGTAGCTCCAGTAGCTCAAGTTCTCACACCCTCCCACTCACCTTCCTTCAGATCCCATCTACCTAAACCAAAATCACTTCCCATTAATGACTCTACAAAACCCCACTTTCACTCTTCAACCATTACCATGTCTCTCTTAACCATTCTTCTCCCCTTCACCTTCCTCTTTCTACTCTTTCCCATCTCAACACACGCTTCTTCCATTAGTTACCCAAACAAAACAAAAACACACCCTTGCCCACCGTTCTCCTCCACCCCACCTTTCCCATTCTCATCTTCCCCAGGCTGTGGCCACCCTTCTTTTCAACTAAACTGTTCATCTCCTCACTCTTTCATCTCCATCAACAACCTCTCTTTCTCCATCCTCTCTTACAAACCCAACTCTTCCTCAATCACTCTCTCCCCTCATAACCCACAAAACAACAACAACAACACTTGCCCATCTTCATCTTCATCTTCAATCCCTAATAAACCCATCAACCTCTCAAACTCACCATTCACTCTCTCAGATGAACTATGCTCACGTCTCTCTTTTCTCCAACCTTGTTCCCCTCCAACACTTCCCAATTGCAGTCACTGCCCTTGGCAATGCAAAATCATCAAAAACCCAACAGAAATCTTCACTAACTGTAGATCTATGCATCACTCTGTTTCTGATTCTGAACCGAGTTGCCAAAGTGATGTTCTTGATTACCTCAACGAGATACTCACTTTCGGTATCGAAGTTCAATGGGATGAAGCATTAACACAAGATACTTACTTCACAAATTGCACAGAATGTATCAACAGAAAAGGCTTCTGCGGTTACAATTCATCAGACCCGGAAAAACGCTTCATATGTTTCCATTCCAAAGAAACCATTTCGCCGCCGTGGATTCACAAAATGAAGCTTAACAAAATCGCTGTTTTCGCGGTTATTATCGCTTTCACTTCGTTGCTTCTTTTTATCACAGTAACAATCTCGATCCTCCGATCGAGAAGCTTAAACTCTCAATCAGTATCAGAAGATCCAACTACCGCCTTCCTCCACAACCACCACTCCGCGAATCTCTTCCCACCGGTTTTCACCTACGACGAACTAAACTCCTCCACTAACAACTTCGATCCAAACCGCAAAATCGGCGACGGCGGATTCGGTTCAGTTTACCTCGGCAATCTCCGAGACGGAAAACTCGCCGCCGTGAAACACCTCCACCGCCAAAACCACACTGCAGCGTTCTTATCAAAATCATTCTGCAACGAGATTCTCATTCTCTCTTCAATCAACCATCCAAACCTCGTTAAACTTCACGGTTACTGCAACGATCCTCGAGGCTTGATTCTCGTATACGATTACGTTCCAAACGGAACCCTAGCAGAGCACATTCACGGCTCAAAGAGTAAAGGAAAGGGTTACAAGCTGACGTGGCAAACGAGACTTGATATCGCCATACAAACGGCGTTAGCGATGGAGTACCTTCATTTCGCAGTTAAGCCACCGATAGTTCACAGAGATATAACGTCGTCAAATATCTTCGTTGAAAAGGATATGAGGATTAAAGTCGGTGATTTCGGGTTATCGAGGTTGTTGATTTTACAAGAAACGAGTCAAACGACGTCGTCTGGTGGCTTTGTTTGGACCGGTCCTCAAGGTACTCCGGGGTATTTAGATCCGGATTATCACCGGTCGTTCCGGTTAACGGAAAAGAGTGACGTGTACAGTTTTGGTGTTGTTTTGCTCGAACTAATTACGGGGCTTAAAGCTGTAGATTATTGTAGGGATAAACGTGAGATGGCGCTTGCTGATATGGTTGTTTCAAGGATTCATACAGGTCAGTTGAAGGAAGTACTTGACCCGGTTCTTGATTTGGGGAATGACGGTGAAGCGCTTGATGCGGTGGCTGCCGTGGCAGAGTTAGCTTTCCGGTGTGTTGCCTCGGATAAAGATGATAGACCTGATTCGAGGGAGGTTGTTGGGGAGTTGAAACGGATTCGGTTACGGAGGTCAGTGAATGATGACGTGGCAAAAGAGTGAGGTGGACCCGACATTGACACGTTGGAGTTATGTGCACGTGGGTGTCAATTTTTATTGTTACGTAACGTCAAGGGGAAAGTGTCCGTGACGCCGTAGCGGAAGTTGGAGGTTATTTTAAATTTGAAAATTGAGGAGGAGCCTATCGGAATTGACTCAGATGAGAATGTGTGAGGTCCCCTATTTTAGTTCTTTATTTGATGGTCCAAATATCAATATATCTATATGGGTAGTAGTTCATAATTGTATAGTACGGTTTAACTATTAATGAAATACATTTTTCATTTTGAATTGTTTCTTCTCTCCCTTTATAATAACTTTGTTATAATCAATTTTAATTTAATTGCAGATTTTTTTGTATTACGAATTTGAAAAATTATAATCAATTTTAATTTATTTGCAATTTCCTTTTATTGATTTACGTATTTGAAAAAATTATCACTAAAGAAATAATCGGGTCAAATTACAAATTAGCATTTATAAGGAATTTTTTAACTACCATTATTTTAAGGACGGTCCATATAAGCATTTAGTACAATTTCAAAAGTAGTTTGATTTTCATCTTGTGTTCATTAAGGATGCTTTGGATCCTTAATCATTCACAAATATGTTGAGTCATGAATATAAACCGAACTTCTACACCACTTTTTGCCATCTCTCCTTGTTTTTTACCCCTCTAAGATACAAATTGCTGAAATAATTAGAGTTTTCAAGAAGAGTGAAAAAGAAGAGATAATAAAAGAGAGAAACTATATTGTGGAAAGAGAATTAATTGAAGTAAAATTGCAGTTAATAATGATTTACAATTTTACCTATACATATACGCAACTAAAACACAATTTACAAATTGTAGTATTCGACTCTGTCAAATACTTTATTAGACTTCGACACAGATGTTGTATTCAACTTTGTCGAGTACAACTAACTCCTACTTTGCTAAATTTGACTATGTTGTCTACAACTATGTTGAATACATCTAGTATACTAAATATTGAATTGCATCTTCTAACACGCCTCACAATTTACCAATGCTTTTCTTTAACTCATCAAATACAACTTTCTTCAATGGCTTATCGAGTAGGCCCGCTAGTTGCATTATTGACTTGCAATGCTTAAGTTTGAGTTTTTCTTTATTTACTTGATCTATAAAAAAATGGCACATCTTTTCTATTTGCTTACTTCGACCATGAAACACAAGATGATTTTTCAGATCAATATCTAACTTGTCATCTACAAACAACTTTATTTTCTTAGGTTCCATGATCTTGAGCTCTTCGAGCAACTTCTTTATCCATGTGGCTTGACATGCTGCATATGATGTAGCTACGTATTCAGCTTCACAAGTTGATAAAGCCACAATGCTTTATTTTCTCGAGCTCCAAGAGATTGGAAAACCTCCAATCATGAATATGTAGCCTACAATACTCTTCTTCTCATATTAATCTCCACTTAAGTTTGAGTCGGTGTAACCATGTACTTATGCATCTGTGTTGGACTTCTGCATTGGCATCATCACACCATGATCAACTATGCCCTTAATGTATCTCAAGACTCTCTTGACTTCAATGAGGTAACATTCTTGTGGCTTCTCCGTGAATCTTCTTAACAACCTGAAACTTTGAAAAAAATATCTGGCCCGGTGTTACATATATACCTTAAGGATCCGATGATTTTTTTATACATTTTGCATTTACAAACTTATCATTTGTATCCTTTCTCAACTTTGCTTTAGTCTTCAATGGTGTGACAACTGCATTACAGTTACTCATCTTATATCGTTTCAACATATCTTGGGCATACTCCGTCTGGTGCAAAAACTCTTCTTCATTTGTGTCTTTAAACTCCACCCCTAGGAAATATGAAAAGTTCCCTAGGTCGAACATTTCAAATTCATACATCAATTTTTACTTTAAACATTTTATTCCTGCTTCATCTGCACCTTCTTGCATCGTTGACATACACTCCATGTTCTGAGACGCATTTTCAGAAACTTGCCTCAATCAGGAAGTTATCTATTCTCTTGTTCCAAACCTTAGGGCATGCTTCAAACCATATAAAGCCTTCCTCAATCTGTACATTTTTTGTTCATGCCTTGATTTTGTCCACCAGAACATCCCTACAGATCACAAGTTTATCATCGTTTGGTGAATAAAACCTGTATGCACCAGTTGAATGATAACCTTTGAGCACCATGGTCTGACTTTGATCACCTGGTTTCTTCCTCAATTGCTCTGGTACATGCCTAAAACACATTAATCCAAATACTCTAAGATGACTAACATTTGGCTTCTGTCATGTCCAAGCTTCATAAAGTGTCTCCTCAATTATCTTCTTTATTAGACATCTGTTTAGAATGTATACCGTTGTTGAAGCTGCTTCACCCAAAAGCTCATTGACATTTCTTTAGCTTTCAACATACTCCTGGTCATGTTCAACATACTTCTGTTTCTCCTCTCAACTATACCATTGTGTTGAGGTGTATAAGGTGCAATGAACTCATGTTTTATACCTTCCTCATTGCAAAATCTTGCTAATTCTCTAGAGGTTTTTCACTTCCACAATCAGTTCTCAGTTTCTTTAACTTGCATCCACTTTGTGTCTCAGCATGCAACATACACTTTTTGAACTGTGTAAATACCTCATTCTTCCTTTCAATCAGATAAATCCACATATATCTTGTGAATTCATCTATGAAAGTTAGGAAATATCAATTACCTCCATTTAACCTTATTTCAAAAGGTCACACACATCAAAGTGAACAAGCTCTAACTTTTCTCTTGACTTCATAGATAAGTCATGTTTAAATGCCTTCCTAGCCTACTTTGCTTTGCAGCATTCCTCACACACCTTACTTGGTTCCTTCACTTGAGATAATCCATACACCATCTTCTTCTGATTGAGCATACTGAAACCTCTAAAGTTTAGGTGCCCATATTTGTGATGATGGAGCCAGTTCTTGTTTTTAATAGCAGTCAAAGCAAGACATTGATGATCAACTATGTTAATCTCTACTTTGAAGGTTTTGTTATTTGCCAATGGCTCCTTCAGGATCATCGTTCCTTCTCCATTATACTTTTTCTTCATTTTTTCTTCCAACTTCATATTATACCCTTTGGCAAGTAATTGACGGATGCTTATGAAATTACTTGTCATCGAAGATACATATAATACACCAATAATACTGACCCTCCTACCATATTTTCTTACCACAATTATGTTTCCTTTTCCACTTGATGTGACATGCCTTCCACCTGCAAGCCTGATCCCTTTCTTGACTGGTTCATCTAACTTGGTGAACCAACTTTTATTACCAGTTATGTAGTTACTGCATTATGTATCTAGGTACCACATATTGGTTTTTTCATTATTCGACTTCGATTTTTCCATGAGTAGCATATCATCAGAGTCACTTTCTCTAGCATGTGCATATTGCACTTTGTCATTATATTTTGCTCTTGACTCCTTCTTTCTTCAGCAATCTCTAGCATAATGGCCAAACCATTGACAATTCTAACACTGCACCTCCTTCATGTCAACTACCTTCCATGAATACTTGTTGCCCATGACTTTCTTAGTTGAATTATAGTGATTCTTTGAATTGAAGCTTGACTTCTCATCATTAGCAAGATTCTTTCTCTGCTTTGCCTTTTCTTTTCCATACTTCTTGATGAATCTTGCTTGCAATGCCTGTTCAACCGCATTCTCCCTTACCGAGTTCCTCTGCTTCAGCCCCATCTCATGAGCCTATAATGAAGCTTGAATTTATTCTAACTTCATCACATCTAGGTTATTAGACTCTTCAATAGACACTATAATGTAATCAAAATTTATAGTCAGGGATCTCAATACTTTCTTAATCTTCTGCAAATTATTGATCGATTCACTACACGCCTTCATCTAGTTCGTGAGTAACACTCACTTGAGAAGAAGTTAGAAATTGATTCATCTTATTTCATATGTGTTATCACAAACTACTTTCTCAACGTCTGCAACTTCACCCTTTTTTCAGTTTTTCATCTCTAACATATATGTTCTTCAACTTTTCCCATGCTCCTTTAGACGTTTCTTCTTCAATGATCTTCTCGAACACGTTAGGATCTACATAATGGTGAATCAAGAGAAGTGTTTTTTTTTCATTTTTCCTCCTTTGTACCTTGTGCACATCCTTCCGAACATCATTTGCATTCACTTCCAATGCAGATACTCCATCATTCGCGATTTTAGCCACATCTTGAAACCTGAAGATGGCCCTCATATGCCCAACCCTCCCGTCATAGTTCTCACCTTTGAACAGTGGCATATTCCCTAAAAATTGAATGGATGTTGTGTTACTACTTTCGATAATAGATTCTCTCTGAATCGCAACCGGACTCGTTGATACCAATTCGTTGGAACAATTAGGGTTTTCAAGAATAGCGAAGAAGAATAAGAGAGAAAAACTATATTATGAAAAAGGAATCGATTGAAGTAAAATTACAACTGTAAATGATTTATAATGTTACCTATATATATATATATATATATATATATATATATATATATATATATATATATATATATATATATATATATATATATATATATATATATATATATATATATATATATATATATATATATATAGAGAGAGAGAGAGAGAGAGAGAGAGAGAGAGAGAGAGAGAACACATTTTTTTTACAAAGTGCAGTATTTGACTTGTCAAATACTTTCTCATAATTCGACACACATGTTGTATTCGACTATGTCTAATACAACTAACTCATACTTAGCTTAATTCGACTACGTTGTCTAAAACTATGTCAAACACATCTAAAATACTAAATATTGAATTACATATTCTAAAAAAAGCTTACTACACACAATGTTCAGAACAATATGATTGATTTGGACGGTGTATGATGAGCTAGGGATTGAGATTATTTGTGTTCAAAAGTACAAAGGTCCTCATTTATTGCATGTAGTCTATAATAGTGCTCACTATTGGGCCTTTTGGATGACTCAAA